CTCAGCTGGCATTGTGCCTAAGGTGGGAGAAGAACTCATGATCTCCTGGCTTCTAGTCCAGGAGCATCACCACCACGCCAAACTGGCTCTCATTGCTTTCAGGTCAATCTTGACTCCTAGTGACTACATGAACAAGTCCCTGCAGTTTTCTAGGCATTTTCAGAAGTGGCTTGCCGTTGCCTTCTTCCTAGGGCTGAGAGAGAGTGGCTGGCCCAAGGTCACCCAGCTGGCTTTGTGCCCAAGGTGGGATTAGAGCTCACAGTCTCCCTGCTCCTGGTCCAGTTCCATCACCGCTAGATCAGATTGACTCCCACAATGACTTTGAGTCATACTTGACTCCTGATGACCTACACAGACACGTCTCTGCAGTTTTCTTAGGAAGATTTTTGGAAGTGGTTTGCCCTTGCCACCTTCTTCCTAGGGTTGAGAAAGAGGGAATGGCCCAAGGTCACCCAGCTGACTTTGTGCCTAAGACAGGACTAGAACTCACAGTCCCCTGGTTTCTAGCCTGGTGCTTTTAACCACTCCACCAAGCTGGATCTTATAATTGCATTATTGGGTGTCTCGGTATGACTCTAACCTTCCTTATAAACAGAAAAGTTACAGTTAATAATAAGGTCTCTCATTATTATGACAATACTGTGTGCTTGATGCAGCGCTCTGCGTGTTTCTGGTATCTATAACAGGAGGAAGCTGTTGATTTGGATTTAGTGGTGGATCCCTTAGCCATTGCAGTAGATCAGTAAGAGTTTTTGAGCAGAAGCAGCAACAAACTGAGTGTTCCCCTGCTTAGGTCAACCAGAAGGAAAGCACTGAAATGAAGCCATTTCACCCTGGGAGTGGCCAGGATCTTTGTTTGGCAAGTAATGAGGTTTACTCATTTTGGTCCTCCAGAAGATTTCCTCAGCTCAGGTTGTTATCATTTTAAGTCTGTCTTCTGCATCAAGATCAGCTTGATGGATATTAAGGTTCTGTAGGATTAAAAAACCAAAATAGATTCTAAAAGCCTAGTATCTGCAGATTAGGCAGATACTATTTTCTGCCAGAATGCCCCAACATTAGGCACTAGTCTGGTTTATATGTAAGTCTTCATTTTGCATTACACTGACACTTGAAAATATGAACCCATCATAAGCAGCAGACTGTGGTTTATCCCTGGCCACAGATTATGGCGTGACAATAGCAGCAGCGTCGAATGTTTTAGGAATACATTGGAATACTCTTGGGATGGAGAGGACTTTAATCTAATTCTTGGGTTGAAGTCCATCTTTGTGGTAGACCAATCAAGGGTTGGCCTTGAGAAAGACGGTGTTTCACATGGTCTCATTTTCCTACCTGTAAAGTGGGTGTAATAAGGAATCTCACAGGTTATCATGGAGGTCACTTTAATAAAATGTTCTGAGCAATCTGAAAATGCCCTAAAGAAACTAAAAATGGCCTATCAAAACCGGCTGGAATGTCTTGTTCAAGATATTCTGAATGGTCTTAATACAGAAGTGAAAACTAACAAATCTTGTTTGCCTTCTAGGTCCCCCAGTGGCAGCTGCAGTGAGATCTCATTTTAACAACTGTCCAGATGTCCACAGTCAGTTTTGTTTCCACGGGACTTGTAGATTCCTGGTGCAGGAAGAAGAACCGACTTGTGTGTAAGTCTTTGCCTTTGCCTTTTGCGATGCCTGTGCAAGTGCGCTCAAGGCCTTACTGTCGAGGGGGAGCAGAGCAAATGAAAACAGCGCTGGTTCCCCTAATGCAGAGGGTCAGACATAGGAAACCTCCGTGCTGGCTGAGGCAGTGCTGGAGAGAAAGAGCCTCTTAGCGAGGGCATCTGCTTACCTACGGCTGTTGCACTCTAAAGGGGGAGTTTCATTTCAACTATGCTGCTGGTACCACCTAGCAGAAATGGCCCAACATTGCTGAGGAATCTGGTTTGTACCTGGTCTATTGTACTCATTCAGCAAGTTAATTCCTCTATGCACGCCAAAAGTTAACACTCCAATTGGAATATATGTCCAGTCTTTTCCTTGAGGAATTAATTAAACTCTTAATTGAGAAATTAATTAAACATGGCTTGAGCACTTGGCCTCCTTCTGGGAAGCAAAAGCATATTTCATGGCTGCAGAGGACGTGGAGGCCGAAAAGATCTCCTGTCTTATACGAAAGGAAGCTCCATGGCTACTACTTTCCTTGCCCTGAAAATCAGTTTCTGTGTATTTGGGGATGCACAGAAGTACTTACGTATTTGTGCATGGGTACCCCTGGCGGTCTCCCCTGGCATTTAATTTTTCCTGAGATGGCCAAAGATTGTCAGCCTCCAGTTTAAAAAGGTTATTGTGATCTGTCTTCGGGGGCAGGAGCAGAACGGGCTTGCTAACCAAGAACAGCTTCTCCAACTCTGATGTTCTGCAGGTGGCCTAGCCCAGCGTTTCTCAACCTTGGCAGCTTGAAGATGTGTGAACTTCAACTCCCAGAATTCCTTTGCCAGCATGCTGACTGGGGAATTCTGGGAGTTGAAGTCCACTTATCTTAAGGTTGAGAAACACTGGGCTAGACCATAGTTAGTATGATCTTCAACAGGTTTTAAAAGACTGAGCAGAGGATGATCCCACATGGAAATGGAATCTCATAAAATTAAGTAGATGAGGCTTAGGGCAGGTTTGATAGCAAACACTTTCCCACTACCTCAGCATATCCAGACTGCTCCTCTCTGGTTGCGAAGCAAGGGACGCTGAATAAAGGACCTTAGACGCAGATGTTGACTGAACGTCAGGGAAAACTTTCCTAAGAGTAAGAGGAGTTTGGCAGTGGAACCCCAGACCGGTGATGGGCTCTCTTTCCCTGGACGGGTGCAAGCGGAGGCTGGAGAGACATCTGTCCAGGTTGCTTTAATTTGGATTCCTGCCCTGCACAGTGCGTCCCCTCAGAAGCCCTTTCTGCCCCTGGGGTGCAGGAGCGTGAGGCCGTGGCCTGGAATCCAAATAGTTGGCGTGCTTTTCTTCGCTCTGGCTTGAGGCAGGTTTTGGCTAGCGAGTGAAGCAAAATTCCGCTTTAGTTGAGAATGAGGTTGCCTCGCTGGGCTGGTGGCCTCCCCCTCACCCCCCTGTAACGTGTGGCCTTGGCTTCTGTTTTTCCTTGCCCAGGTGCCATTCTGGGTTCATAGGTGCCCGCTGTGAGCACGCCGATCTCCTTGCAGTGGTGGCTGCCACCCAGAAGAAGCAAACCATAACCGCCTTAGTGGTGGTTTCTGCCGTCGCCTCCCTTGTCGTTATCATGGTCTGCGTCCTGATCCAGTAAGTATAATTCCATGGGGTGCTCCTTTGAATCTGCAGTCTGCTAAAATCTCTCTGCGAGAGCTGCAGGAACAAAGGAATTCACCTGATGTAAAGCAGATCCTGTGTGATCGGGGGAGGAAAAGGGGGATCGACACACAGCGGTGCAGCCGCTGGCCAATCTCCATCGGACTGCCTTTCTGAGGATTGCCTGCACTGAATCCAGTAGATTCCCTGATTTGAGACAAAAAGGGCAGATGGCTGCGTGCGACTTGTCTTAAATTCAAGCCGTTTCAAGTGCAAAGCAGCTGTGGACGCGGTTCAAGCTGGAGGCCCTGTTCTTAGACTCGAAGCAGCCGTCTTGGGCTCAGAACGTTCCGAAATGCTCCAAACCGTCTGACCTGCTCTCAGGATAGCCCGTTTCACAATTGCAAACACACAAAGGAGCATTTGGAACTCAAAAGATTTTGCGCATATAATCGCACAATATGAATAAAATGGTTTGGATGCCCTGTGGCTTGGAAACTGGCTGCCAGTCAGTTCTCTAAAGAAATGTATCTCTCTGAAATTACGAACTCCTAGTTGGAATTCTTGTTTTATACTCAGAAACTCTAATTCTGTTAACAAGTATCATGGGCCAGCTGTGTGAGATGCTGCAGTACTTATTAGCGCTGAACACAGCTACCTGTCTGTCTGTCTGTCGTCTGTCTATCATCACATTTAATAAGCTGAAAAGTACACAAAATACAGACAATTCTGCTCTGTTTTCACATTCTGCTTCTCCTAAAGTATTTAGCGAAGGGTAACCCAGAGATGGATCAAGTCTATGTTTTTAGCTAATGACAGAGTTAGGCAATTCTCCAAAATCTGAGTTGCATAGAGAAAGCAGGCTGTGAGATTAAGCAGCCAGTGCAAACTTTTCTAAGTATCTGCTTTCCTTACACTGGAGTCCATTACATAAATGAAATGTAATTCCTTTGCTGATAAACAAAGAGATGAACTATGCAGAAACATTTAATGTTTAAAGTTTGGATTTGAGAAGGTAGGCTGGGCCCTTCTGAAGGGAAGGTTCCTGGAAATAGGAATCAGAAAAGATTTGCCAGCCGTTTCAAGGATTTTCTGCAGGAAGGAAGAGATGAAAGCAGCCATAGGCAATGTGGGGTAGTACCTTGGTGGGCTTCTCTGTTCTTCTGCATGAATGAAAGTGGATGTTTGCTGAAAGACCTCTTTTGAAGCATCCTCTTTGCTTCCAGTGGTTTTCTGTTCCCAAAAAAATCTCACCGCATTGCACACAGGCCAGTCTTGCTGAACCCAGCCCAAATGTCCTGGGATAGCTTCTCATGATGACATTGTGAGTTACGTTGTGCTTTTGTTCTGAGGACAAGGGACAGTGATGTCCGTGCTTGCCCGATATTAAACAAAAATTAAAGTCTCTGCTGTGTGATTAGGAAGAAGAGCTGAAGTGCCTTTGTGGCTGATTTCCCAATCTGAGCCTGGGGAGATGTCTTACCTAACCCTTTTTCATCAGTTCCCTTCCTTTCAGCTTCCCTCTTGAAATATTCTTGGCCCACAGTGGAGCCTCCATGATAAACCCCAGGGAGGAGAAGGTCAGCCCAGGCCCTGCTTCTTCTCTGAGGCTGGTCAATGTTCTCTGCGTTCTCTTGCAAACGAGAGGAAGGCAATGCGTTGAAGACCCGAGTCTCACCTTAACCTCCATGTGCAGGAAAGCTGCTTAGAGGGTTCCTTGTTCTCTTGTGGTTTGGGCCAGAGCCCCCGGGAGAAGTTTTTGCTTTGGCACAGAAACCTTTGGAGGATTCTGCAGCTTGGCTTCCTTGAGGAGTTTGGGATGACAAATGATTCTGGAGAGCCCAGTTCTTGGTGGGAAGTTTTTTGGGTCAGTCCACCATATTTGTCGGTCAGGATTGGGGTAGCGCAGAAGAGTTCAGCTGAAGAGCTGCTGAAAAGACTTGGAATCAAACCTTGGATTGAAGTATTGAAGGTGTTTCTGTACTGTTAATAGATTGAGGGGCTGGGTTGTGGAGCATTTCTTGTGGGAATCTGAGCTTCCACAGGAGAGATGACCCTGAACACAAGTCTTGGTTCAGACAGACAGAAGCTGCATCCCCTCAAGTCCTGAGAGGTTGCCCCCCCGCAATAAGCATCCCATTGTTTCTGCTCCGGAAACCTCATTCCCTGCTCCTTTCTTTCCCTTCTTGCCTGCCAGCCATTCCAGTTCTTGGCCCAAACTTCAGTTGATTAATCCACCATTGTGTGTGTTTGTGCAGTTGCTGCAGGATACGGAAACACTGCGAGTGGTGCAGGACTGTTGTTTGCAGACACGAGAAACCCACTGGGCTCCTGAAGGGGGCTACGTCTTGCTGCCACTCAGAGACAGGTAAATCAACAATATCTGTGCCGATCTGTAGTTTGTCATTTCGGACAATAAATCCAGGTTCTTTTATTTGGCTGGAGCAAAGAAAGTAGGCTGGTAGTCAAGCAGTTCTGGCTTTGCAGCAGAAGAGAACATTCTGGAAAATGAAAAGGAAAGTCCTAAGGATCTGGGCTAGTGTTCCATATGAGAGCACAGAGTTTGCAGGCGGATGGTCCCTGGCATCTCTGTGAAAATGATTTCTGTCTTCAGCTGAACTATGGGAAGTCCTTTGAGGGCTCTGTGCATCTGAATTTTATTGGCTGATCTTCAAAGCTAAGCAGGGCCAAATCTATTAGCTCTTGGCTGAGAAACTCCCAGGGCTGTAAGACCAGATGGCGTGGAAGTCAGAAAGACCATCCAAGGGGAACACAGTTCCATAATACTGCTAAGAAAACTGTCTATGAAGTTCCCAGGTGTCGTGCTTGACTCAAGAGAAACTTGACACAGAGGGATGGATTAGAGAAAGGGATATAACCGTTTATTATATTTCACTTAGTGTGAAAAATATCAGTCCCCAATCCAGTGTCCTCAAAATGCCTTGAATTCTACTCCCATTATCCACTCTCAGCTAGACCATGAAGGCTCCCCCAGTTCTATTGTTCTGTTCCTCTGATCTGTCTCCCAGCTCTGTCTCTAATGCCACCGAGTGGGTGGACCAGGATGTCTTCTGCTTTAGGCTACATCCCTGTGGAGGACTATGCTCCAGTGCCCAGCCTTCCCCCACGGACACAGCGGTCGTCCTGCAATCAGTGCCTCCATATGCAACAGTCTTCCAGCTGGTGGGAACTCTGGGCATTGGATGGTGCCGAGTTGGGAATTCTGACTTGCCCTGCAATTTTGTAGAGAAAATTCTTGTGATGTCGATTCTTGTGGGCACGGTTGTAAGCAGGGCTGTACCACGTGATGGCTTCCTTTTGAGAAAATAAGACTTTTCTCACTGGACCATTTTATGGTCTGCCAAATGACTCTAACAATTCTCAGGCAGGAGATCAATATAAGGGCCTTCTACTTTCTTCTGCTCCACCCAACATTATTCAGTGGTGGGTTGTTTTTGAATGGGAAGGTTCCACTCAGTTCCACTGTCTTGACTGATGGCCTGTTCATCCAATCCCTTTTTAAAGTTATTAGTGGTCATCTTCACATCATGTGGTCAGTATCCTGTGCTGTGCACTGTCTTCTAATCCAAATTAAATGTGTTTCTTTTTGTACGGACTCACCTAATTGCTTGTTTTGCAGTTGTCTGACAAAAACCAGGTCTGCTGCAATTCCACAGATGGGAACAGTGCAGAACTCCATGCATGAGGTCTACAATATTCCAGAGAAAGACTTTAATGTGGACAAAGACAATTTCCAGGGATTAAAACAGGAAGCCAATTTAGTGTAACTTTTGAGTTCTTCTCTGAATCTTCTACCATTATGCTGGGCTTCCAGAACTTTGCTAAAGAGGCAACATGGTCTGTGTCGCTTCTGACTAAACTAATGTGTCATTTTTGACAACCAGCAAATCTCCAAGACTTCTTTTTAGTCAAAACAGAGAACAGTGAAGATCGGACAGCTTTATATTTACTTTAGGCACTGAAGGGCAGGCTTATTCAAGGGAAGGAATGTGTCCGGTTCGTCTTGGGAAAGTTTTAATTGAGACCTGATCCAACCCAACCTGAAGGACTGGCTCTGATTTGTGTATTTGTTTCGTCTTTGACTCCTCTCCAATGGAAGGATGCACCATGTGAGACATTTGGGAATAGCATCGTCCTCCCTGTGAGCAGTTGGCCTGTCTGCATTCATCTGCAAGTTGAACCTGCAGATCCTTTGAGTAGAAAAGCATCAAGATCAGTAGCCTTCCCAAATTTAAACATTTCTGTGTTTGGAGTATCCTGTTTGGGGGAGAAAAATAATAAACAGTAGGGGTAGACTGGCCAAACGTTTTTGAGCCAAGTGACAGCAGAATTGCTTACCCTTCCTTCTCTCGTTTATGAGTCAGAGCTGCACGGTTGAGTTAGAAAATTTCTTTGCCCTCTCGGCCAGGTTCTGGGTAACTTGGTGAAAGAGTGGCAGCTTTGCTACATTTTCCCAAAGAGAAAACAGATCATAGAAGCATTAGTTATTACATGACAGGTAGAAATGGGATGTTGGAAGAGGTACATCTGGGCTTGTTTTTAGTACTGACTTTAAAAGCCCTTGAGTTAGATGGGAAGGTTACTTAAAATCTGTTTTTAGAAGGGGTGTTTTTAAATACTGCACTGTTTCTAGGTTTCCATGCTTGCAGGGGATTTCTAACTATTGCAGTGTCTTGGTGATAGAAAGTTCCTCCAAGTCACTTGTGTGTCTGGAAACATTCCAGACTGGGACTAGGACTGGGAAAAACACTCCACAGTTGTGTGGGTGTTGCACCTTTTGACCCCTGGGCGCTGCATGAGGGCATGGTTCCAAGGATAGGATAGATCTGTGAAAGTATGTGCATGTCTGAGGTATGATGGCATTCCATGAGTCCAGGAGAACCTTGGAAGCTGAGTTCTTCTCATGAAGGTTAAGAAGCTGATGTCCTGATTTTATAGAAAGCTCTGTTCTGAAACCAGGCCCTTGGCAGTTGCATTGAGTTAAAAGCATTGACCCTGTGGGGACTAATGCCCCCAGTTTCTAAGACAGAAGTAAGTGAGGGAGATGGTAAGAGATCTGAGAAATATCTTCAAAAGCCATTCTGCTCTTCTGAATTGGCCAAGCAGTTAATTACATGGAAGCCAAAACTTCCACTGTGAAGCACTACTTTCACCTTCTTTCCTGTGGTGATGGAAAGGAGACATATTTGCCAACACTCCTGATTTTTCAGCTCACATAGAAAGTCTGTTTTCCCAGAAGGATGGGCTCAGCATGTTGACTGAAGCTTAATGCCATAAACATTGCTACTAGAGCACTCTTGACATACGACGAAGAAATAAAAATATGGACAAACTGATTTTGTTTCTCAAGTTGGCAGTCCGGCTTATGAATGCTTCTATTACTTTTAGTAGCCTGATTCCTTTTCTACCGTAATACAATGGCATTCCCTCTTTGACTTTCCTCAGAAGGGGAAATAATTGAGTTTTTAAATCACCCCCTTCTTTCCTATCCTGGCTTCTCACCAACCAATTTATAAATTGGGTATTTCTCAAATGTAAAAAAGAAAGAAAAGTAATTCCAAAAAGCATGGCCTTTTGCACTGCCCCTCAAGGTATAATCAAGGTCACTTAAGTGAGAGCCAGAGATCTAAAAAAACATTTGACTGGTTGAGAATTGCCCATAAGGGTACCTTGATTCCTGCCAGGTCTAGTTCAGGAGCTCTTGTTACTCTAGTTTCAGAGGGCATCAGTATAGACGGGTTGTATTTGTTCTGAATTATGTCTTTGATACTTTGAATGGTAAACCAGTTTGTCCAGGATATGACCCTGTTCCCTTTCAAGGGAGGGAAAGAATCAGGAAAGAGCTCAGTAGATTTTGTACGACAGTTGGATGCGTGTTCTACTGAAGGCAAACTTCTGCTCTTCTCTGGAATTATATTTTGTGATGCTGTTTAGAAATGAGGCGCATCCTTTGAACTATCAAGTGTTTAATGCGATCTGCACTTCCGTAATTGACCAGCGATAGGGCCAACACCCTAGGAAGTATCAAGGGTTTTGGGGGAAAAAGGTTTGAAATTCTCAAATGAAACACTTCGGCTAAGACAAAACATGAACTCTCATGAGTTGGGCCCTTTTTCATCTTAGGTGCATCTCTGATTATGTTGAATTATCACCTGCTAAATGCCTCTTCCCAATTATGTGTGTTGACATCAAGTTAACACTTTGTCCTTTTTCATAATTAAGTTTACTGTCCATAACCAACCTGAAGCTTTATTTTTAGCCAAGGTTACACTTTTTTTTCTTCTGTATATGTTGCACTGAAGGTTACTATTTAATGTTTTAATTTATTGTGTGGTTAAATTAATTTGATTCATGTAAGATGTTTATGTGATTGGCTGTTATTTCTTCCTTAATACGCTGAATTAATAGATATTTAAATGAGTGAAATACACTTTTCATAATACTTTGTTGTATGGGTTTTTTTTAAAACACGGGGAAGCTATAAATTAAATACAGAACTGTTCATGCAAATGTTAGCGCTCTGTGTCTCATTGCAGTCCTACCCCTTGAGCAGAGGCTTCAATTGCAGAGGTCATCTTCATGCGCTACCCAAAACAATAGTTTGCGTTATGGAGAATATCATTCTTTCCCAGATGGCTGTGTGCCTGACAAAGCCACTTTTTATGTTATGCACCAGCTCCAGTCTACCTCCAGGAGTGATTTGTTTGAACTGTGGTTGAATGAGCCACAGTGACTTGCTTCATACAACACTGTAAGCCATGAACCACAGTTCACAAACTATAATGGCTACATTCATACAATAGTTGGATGACACATCGCTGTAAACCACAACCAAACCAACCAATCAAATTACAGTGATATACAAACTTTAGGCAAGTTGTATGTTTCAATGAATCCTTAAGTGAAGAAAAGCTGACCAGCCTCTCCATGTTGTAAAGTTAAATAGGGCATCTTTCTGCAAATTTGAATGCTTAAATTACCATTTATGTGCTCTTGTTTACAAATTTAAAAATGAATCCGGTAGGTGCAGTGTGACTAGAAAAGTGTTAATATGGCCCCAGAAGGTGATTGACTGGTTGGGCCTACAGTTAGCTAGGAGAAGACAATTCCATAGGGGAGCCAATACCCGGATACTTCTAACTTCTCAGATTGCAATTGTTCTGTCTACTTTCAACAACCATGAACCATGGAGTCCTCTAAACAGCTTGAAAAAGTGTTTGAAAAATGAAGATAATGCTCTCTTACCAAACAGGGGAAGGCTATTAAAAAAAATTCATGGCTTCCAGCTAGCAATTTCAACTGTAAGAAACATGATTAAGAAATGGAAGTTACATGGAGGTCAAGGCAAGATCTAGAAGATCAAGAAAAATCTGCTATAACACACAGCAAGGCAAATTTAGACATTTGGAATACAGTTTTTTTGGAAAAGATCCATAAAAAACAATAGATGAAATGACTTTAAGTAGACACTAGCAATCATCTCCAAAGTTTAATGTTCAAAAGACAGAATAAATACTTAAGGTAGAGGTTAGCGGTTGGCGAAACGAAGAAAAGGGGAGAATGTACTGTATTGCAATTTTTTTAATAATGTTTTTCCTTACATTTTACTGTTTATCTTCTTCGCTTTGTGTATCTTCATTCTTGTGTGGCTTCTGTTTAAATGTTTTATCAAAACTTATGCAATTAAAAATAAAACTGCTAAAACTCCCTAAAACTGGTCAGATCTGCAAAACAGAATCCACAGATCCCTGAAAATGCTCTGCTGAAAAGTTTAACTGACCTCGGAGTAGTAGTAGTCCAGAGGCACGCAGGAAAGTGTTACTTCTATAACAATGACTTGCATGGGAGAGTTGTTCAAGGCAAGCTTTTCCCAACTTCATCACAAAACTCATCTAAAACAGTGTTTCTTAAGCTCAACAATTTTAAGATGAGTGGACTTCTGCTCCCAGAATTCCCCAGCCAGCATGCTGGCTGGGGAATTCTGGGAGTTGAAGTCCACACATCTTATTGCTGAGGTTGAGAAACACTGATGTAACATATGCAAGAGAAAACCATGATAAGCCTGAATATTCTGGAACAAAATGCTTTGGAGTGATGAAACAAAAATTAAACTGTTCAGCCACAACCACTCATGACACATTTGGAGAAAAAAAGTGAAACATTTGAAGAAAAGAAGACTTTGTCAACTGCTGAGCATGGGGGTTGCGCTATCAGGCTTTGGGGTTGTGTGGCAGCCAGTCACACAGGAAATATTGTGTGGGTGGAAGGAATGGATTCAACTAAATATCAACATGCCCCACAGACAGGAAGAAATGGAAGTTGAAAAGAGGTTGGCTATTTCAGCAAGCCAACGCAATCAAAACCCAAATCAACTAAGAAGTACAGGAAAGAAATAAAAGTTTTGAATGTTACTGGAAATCTGAGGAGAAATTTTAAACATGCACTGAATCTAAGAATATTTCTGAACTACAGAAGGTCTGCAAGGAAAAATCCCAAAACAAGATTCTTAGCTGGCTATAGAAAACATTTGGAATTATTTCTGCCAAAAAAGGTGTTCAATGCAGAATTCTGAATGTAAACTTCAACACCTGACATATTTTTTTTTATTTTGAATCTGAAAACAACTGCACACAAATAGTAAATATGCATTCAAATTTGCAGAATGATATCCTGTTTAATTTTGTGCCGTGAAGAGATAGTGTTATATTCTGTTCACTTTTGGATTCACTGAAACAAACCATTTGACCAGGAATGTCTAAACTTTTGCATGCAACTCCGTGTCTTGGCATGGTTTTATGAACACAGCCCTTGAGAGAGAGATCCATGCTAAATACTCTGGCTGCGTTTGTACAACTTCCTCACCAGATCAGCTGAAGATCTAGAGACTGCATGCACACAAGGTTTTTGTGATTCATCAAATAAATAGAAAATAGATTAATTCAATGAATATATTACTTTGGGGACAAGTTTGTAATATTATAAATTGGGAGCGTAGAAAGAGGAACTGTTAGAACTGCAATTGTTCTATGATTGGGACAACAGAAGAATCTTCCCTAACCAGGAATCCTCCAGTTGTGTTGGATTTCAGCTGTAATCCTCCACAGATCATAGCTGGAAGACGGAAGTCCAACATTTCTGGAAGGCACCAGGCTGGTGCAGGGTGTAGTAAGAAATCAGGTGAAAATATTTCATATAATCAAATTATGAGATTTGATAGATCAAGATGTGTGGATGGCATCTTAGATGGCTGTCAAGAACAAAATGGCAAATTCATGAAAATATGCTGGTAAAGGGTTTGTAAAGAGCGACTCCTCACAACAAGATCCATGTGATCTAATGTACTTAGGGAAAAAGGTAAGATCCTCAAGGACCCATCATCCTATACTGTACTGGAGCTTGTGTTTCCAATTGAAGCTGATTGCTGAAATGAGGAAGTGTAGATGACATGTATGGTTGGTCATCCATCCTTCTTCCAAACAAAAAACTGAGACTAAACATGGACAGATGCAGATAGATGAAAGTGAGGGACTCATGAAGCCCATCTGGGATCCTTCGTATGTTTTTGGACAACGAATAAAGAGTATGGACTAACTTTTCAGTTGATATAAGCCAGGCATAATGAGAAGCTTTGTAGTCTGGTGAAACACTTGCTTTGCAACTGAAAGGTCCCCAGGACATCTCCAGCTGGACCATCCCAAACCTGGAGAGCTACAGTCTGTTACTGCAGAGTCAATGGTCCTAAGGTAGGCAGGGCAAAGGGGCAAAGCAACTGTTGAGTGATGATAGTGATGATCTTCTTGGTTCTTTGAAATATTGAACCTGATGCTACAAATCATTGTGTTTGATACCATGATGCAGGATCACTTGTAGCTAGAGGGCCCTCAAGTTCATGGGAGGTGTGAATGGGATACTTGCTTTCCTTAGCAGAACCAGGCTGAGTAGCCCTTTTGACCCAAGGGCAGTGTGATCTCTGGGTGAACCCAGCCAGAACATGTCCCACACAGAGCGAGTAAAGTCACTCTGACTTCTGGCATGAAGTTTTGGATGTGGTTGTCGGGTAGATGCACATATACACACCCTGAATGAAAGGGAGGAAAAGGGCTGGGGAGGGCTTTCTCATGCCTGGAGGATGAGATCATGGAACTGGGGGGAGGGGGGAGAGAGAGATCTGGGAGAGGATAATGGGCTTGGTTCTGGAGAAGAAAAAATGTGGGCTTATGGTTGCACCTGCATTTCTGTAGGCATCCAAATAACTCACATGACCAGCTCTAATTTCTACTTTTCCAAAGGCTTATCTAAGGCATCCCATTCCAGAACTTGTATGTGGGTCACCACCAGTGGAAGGTCCTGAATTGTCTCATTCAAGAAGCTCATTGTTTATTCTATCAATACCTAAAGTATACCTCAGCATAGCTCTGGAGCTGCATGGTGACCCACAAACTCAACCACCCCAATCCTGACATATGGATGAGTGGCTTATAGCGGCCTCATGGCTGAAATGAGCTTCCCAAATATCTGAGCATTTTCCTTCTTTCCCTTGGGTTGCATAACTTGGCTTTGCAACTTCTTTGGGGCAAAAATATGGCTCCTACTTCATATTTTATAAAGGTGAGATGAGCAAACATGGTGAACTTTTGCTCTTTTTTGTTTTGAATTCAGCCTCTGAGGGCTGCTGGAGTGTGGGTGATGACCCAGTGTTTCCAGTGGGGCTAGGACTGAAACTTTGGAATGTTTTCTGTTCCTACGTAAAACAGGTGGCAAAGCCTATTGGAGGCTTATTAAACCTGTTTGGTTACTGATTTCCGTTACAAATTCATAATCAGATGCAACACCGATTTTCAGCATTTTGCCTCTAAATTTTGGGGGCACAGTCTGGGAGGGGTTTCAGAAAAGGGCTGCCTTCATAGATCCAGTTTCCAGAAACCATCAAGGAAAACTGTTGAGAAATAGCCAAAAGTTGCTTCTATAGGAAGAAGCCACGATTGCTTGAAAATACATGACGTGCTTGTTCATCTGCATGTCTTGAGGCTTCTCAATCATATTCAAATTTTCTTCTCAGCAGCTTGAAGCCAGGTTCAAAAGTCAATTTGTGCATGAAAGAGATTTTGACTGCTCTGATGCCACCACCATCTGTGAGATCTTAGGTGAGCCCCACGGGCTTAACCATACAAGGCCAGCAGTGCCTTCCAAACAGCAGCCTTCTTGAATTTGGGACAAGGGCCCATCGAGGTACATCAGGCGTAAACGTTTGGTTCAATGAAATTAGTCAGCTCTCAGCCTTCAAGATGGTTTTGGACCAAGAGAGAGGCAAGGTCAGACAAAAGAATCCTGTATGGCCTAGGTTTCGTGCATTGTTTAAAAATTGAATGGTGTGATTAGAGGATGATGATGATGATGATACTAGATAGTTTTCTTTTTAGTTTTCACTGTTTTGTTTTTCTGGTTTTTGCTATATAGTTTTTGCAACATTAGTTTAAATGCAATAAAATTCAATTGTT